AAAACTAAACTTCTCTCCATTAATCATCTGCGGGACGCTTCTCTGCCTTCTCTCAGAATGGCTGATGCTAACCTCCCGAAAAGTGACTCGTTGCGTCACCTCGGGCTAACGTTCTCAGATGACATAAGATGGAAATACTATATTGAATCCATTGCTAGGTCAGCTGTTAAGTGTTGCAGTTTTTTGTACATATTATGTACTAGTGAGCCAATCCAAATGACTTGACTCACTTTATAGTCCACCAATAGAAGGTTAACCAATCAGAAGACGTAGAATATTCAATCCGTCGTGTATAAAGGCGGCCATTTTATTTACTCTACCCGAATGTCCAGTCCAGCTTGTCAGGCGAAGAGAACCAGAAAGACGAACTATGCTCTGCTACTGTTACCAAAATATCCACTGCTAACCTGAACAACGCTTTCCTACTGTCTTCGAAATATTCACTGCTAACCTCTGGATTCTATACTCGAAGACGACCGCCATGATGAACAACACTAAGAAGGTTGGTTCAATGTTTTGTGCGAGACAATTTTTATCTCCAGAATCTATCTTACATATCTATAAGCACCATTCGCCCATGCTTAATCTGCAAAAATTTAGATGCAATGTCAATCGCTATCAACTGTCCTCCTGATTACTCTTTCTTTTTCCTGCTCATTATTAATGTTTCTCTTTCTAATTCTTTCACGCCTTATAACCTTTGGGTTTTAGTGGCTTTACTGCTTTGCTTGGGGTGATACCGATTATAAAGCGTGTTCCAATAACTTGGGCCGATTTTAAATGTGAATTAAGTTTAAGCGTCTAATGTTTTTTTTCTTTTTCTTTCAGAATTGGCGGATATTTGAGCGATATTTTTCACACATAATTGCCATGACTTAAATAATAATATGATCCAATAAAGAAATAAAGAAAATAACACTGATTTATTTACTGCTGACTTTGATCCGTCTTAATGAAACACCCTTATATATAATCCGTGTTAATGAAGCACCCTTTTATCACAGACAAAAAGCTTGGGACAACTCTGAATTTCTTGAAAGTAGGTATTTTTGTATTTTTTAAAGTAAAGGATAAATTTTCTCTACCTACAGCAATGATTCCCAGATAGGGCCTATGCCTTACCGGTGGGGCATGGTAATATTTTGGTGGGGCATGCGTAGGATGTGCACCCTTCGGCTTACTATACCAACAGAATAAGGGGGAAACTTGAGAATGGCTTATCAACAGTGAATTGTCTTCTAGTGAGCTCAAATTTCATTTAGTATTATTATTTCATGATTAAAACGATGAAAGTATATTACAGAATAACATTTCATTCAAATATTTTATATTTCTGCATTTCAGTTCTCTATTATATGTTTTGAAACTAAATATATTTAACTGTATTTTTGTTTTTTAAATTTTTCTCTTTCATGGACGCCATGGTCTTTGGAGGCTTGTTTAGAGACCATGTTAATGGCCTTTTAAGCTTTCTTCACGTGAATTGCAGTACAATTTTCAATATGTAAAATATTCATCAGGACTCCCTCGAAGTATTTTTCACGTTCTTTTTTGTTTTTCAAACATACGCCTAAGTTCTAAGTATTATGTCTCAAAAGTTCAAGTAATATAGTTACATTTATTTCTTCACACCGACGAAGAGAAAACGAGAAACAATAGAAATCTGGTTCTACAGAAGGATGCTGAGAATGACATAAACGAAGTGCGTAAGCAACGCGGAATTATGAAGGAAAATGGAAACAAAAATAACAGTTCTACTCAGAATCAAAAACAGATAACTGAAATATCTTGGACACCAATTAAGGATGGCGTCTTTGGAGAATTTGGCACTCACAGGACCTGTCGAAGCCCGGAGAAACAGCCGGTCACATACGTGAATTACGGTAAAACTTTGAATATGTAAGAATTAAATATTACAGGAGGGCACCAGAATTTTAGAAATACCAAAATGGCACATGGCGCAAAATGGGTTGGGATCCTTTGACCTACAGTGTATTTGCTTTTATCTGTTAGTGTGTTTAAAAGCTCCTCGTAAAAGCAAAAAGTTCAAATTTGGATTTGTCTTTCTCCAATACATTTTACTAAATTATGAATAATTTGTCTGAGAAACATTATATTTTGTTTTTCAACATTAAGCTCTCAGTAGACCTTACATCTAAGTTGTATGTTATTACATATCATAATTGTTACCTCACTATTGACCTATGTTGTAAACAAAACACGTGGTTGAGGTATTACTTTTTTAAATTTTGAAGTACTGTATTTGAGGGCTTATAAGGTGGACTTTTTTTTTTGCTAAAAATATCTTTTAAAATTCCCCTGCGTCTTATATGCCATATGTAGGTTTAAAATTCGCGATAGTCGGCCGAAATTAGCTACTTGGCAACTCCTATTAGCTTAGACGTAAACATGAAAGAGCAATGGAACACGTGGATGGCAATGACTGATCACGACCTTACACTTACAGGAAGAATAAAAAGACACAGCATTGCACAAGTTTACGAATGGGATAGTATTAGACCAGAAATTGTTACGAAATCTTTTAAAAAGTGTGGCATTAGCAATGCTCTCAATGGAACGGAAGATGACGCATTATTTAACGACGATGATAGTAGTATTGAAAATGGGTATCATCGTTTTGATAACGAAGACGACGAATTTTATTGATTTGAAGATAATAAAATTTTAATGGTAACTGTACTGATTTGCTCAATTGTAATAATTGCTTGATTTGTATTTTGTTTTCTTACCTTTGGATATAATAAAGATTTTATAGGCTCCTGTTCTTTTTTTAGCTATTTTTTTTTTCGCTTAATCATAATCATGGCTTGTTTAAACAAAATAATACCTCATAGATATAGCTTAGACTGTACTATTTACTACTAATTTTATTAATTTTATTAACTGCTAATTTTTTCGTGATTTGCCCAACTGAAATTGGGATTCGTCTTATACACCCGTGCGTCTTATATGCCGTCAAATACAGTAATTTGCATAAAATGGCAAACTCAAAGTAACTAAGAATTAAAGTGAAGTTACAAATTCAAATTTTATTCAAAGAAGACTACATTCAATGACAATTTTTCAAGAAGTCCTCGGCATGTAGTGGAATATTTGTTACAAGGGTACCTAGATGCTGAGAGAAAAAAGAACTGGAGTATCAAAAGTGACAAATGCTGCTCAAGATAAACACCTGATAATTGAGAGCAAAAGAAATAGAAAGAAAACTGCTCCAGACTTGACAGCTGAACGTAATTCTTATCGACAGCAACCAGTGTGGCTCTCAACCGTGGAACATCGATTTAGATCAGCGTGGTTCAGGTGGTGTCTAACCATCAAGAACCTCCTGTTACTAAAGGTTCATAAGCGCAAAAACTATTATGGACAAACAAAAAACAAAAAAACAAAACAAATATGCATAGGATCTGAACATTGAAATAGTGTCAAAGGACTCGTTTCCAAAAGCAGACACGAGAACACATGGCACAGTGCATAAAGGCTTTAGTTAGATCCAGTGACAGGACCCACAGTATGTGAGTTCAATACACGGTGAAGTCAGCGGAGAACTTGAAGAGGGGAATTAACAGGAGATAACTGATAAGTGACATCCATTAAACATAGCACATGGAACTAGAACAGTCTACCCCAGTGAGCTAAATAAAGGGTTCACTTCGACATTCCAACCACCTGAAGAAGGCCGGAGCGTACAACGGCCGAAACGTTGTAATAGATATGGCGACAAAGATGAGGACAATAGTCCGAATAATGTAAATAGTGTAAGAGGAGAGTGTATGTGAGAAGAAAGTCAGTGACGATGAGGTAGGGAATCAGACTCGATATAGCGCCGCTCGTTCACATATTCCGTGGTTGGAACAGTTGGTATGACCCTTGCTTGATAACCTAACTGTGAGGGTTTCACTTCTCGTTCGTGGATGCGCACTGCTGATGAGTCCTAAATATAGGACGAAACGGCCGTCCAGTGCTTTCTGCATTCTGTTGAAGTTCCTTCTAGACTCGATGAATTAATTATAATTCTCTCAAATCCTCCTAATTTCTATCACGTGTATATCCTTGCTTGAACCGGCTTCTAATGCTCTGGATGAAGCGGCTTGTGGATAGTAGCCGTGGTTCGTGGGGACACACTCCTATGGATAAAAGAGAAAATCGAATGAGTTCCACCACCGAATATGTGATCGAGCGGCGCTATATCGTGTCTGATTCGTTACCTCTTGGAACAGTTGTTATGACGTTTGCCTGTCAATGTAACTGTCCGGGTTTCAATTCTCGGTAGTGGATAAGCACTGCCGATGAGTCCCAAATATAGTACGAAATGGCCGTCTAGTGCTTTCTGCATTCTGTTGACGTTTCTTCTAGACTCGAAGAATTACATAATTAATTCTCTCAAATCCTCCTAATTTATATCACTTATCTCTCTCTCTCGCTCTCTCTCTCTATATATATATATATATATATATATATATAATATTAATAGTAAATATACACATACATATGCAATCATATATCGTGGCTGTCTTCTCGGTTTCGAGCGGGACCACCTCCTTTATTTCATGTCCTCACCCCCCTCCCACTCCCACAAATTCTATGTATTCGCAGATGACTCTTCAGGCCAGCCAAACTGCGACAAATATATAAAAAACATACATACATACATACACATACATATATATTTGTATAAAAAATAATTCCAAGAGGATAGAATCCAGGTAGAACTCAATGTCCAGGACAGAGTAAGGATATAATAAAAAGGCTTAAAGACTAATATTCCATGGTCATAATTTATTACACTGGAATCGTAAATACGATCCAATTTATCAGACCTACAAATTCAAAAAGAAAACAGAAAAAACAACTCCGGGAATAAAAATAAAATTTAGTGAGAGGAAGGATATATATATATATATATATATATATATATATATATATATATATATATATATATCCTATCTCACATACTGTCTCCTTTAATTCTATTGCAAGGAATGTGTTTCCTTTCAGTAGTTTTTCTGAATTCCGGTGATTTTTCTTTTGACAAAGCGTCGACTTTAATAAAATATTCCGTTTTAAGAATACTATGTAAATTACCATGTTGAGAACTGACGCGGGCTAGCTACCCTGGATGACGGTGAAAGGACTCTTTCTGAGCTTTGGTTAGCAACCCTTTTAGTGTTGGTTTCACGATAAAAAGGCATTAGATAGGAAGGAAAACTTATGACAGCTTAACCCGGTCATTATATTGCATCTGCCTCCTGAGAGGCGTGTACTGGCTAATATTGACTGTGATCCGGAGAGGTTAAACTTTATTTAACAATATAATAACACATGAGGACTGTTGTTCGGAGTTTCCGTGGCAAGTCTTTTGCACCGTTACTTTTTTAGCGACAGATCCTAAAAAGTGCGGATGGCCGGACACAAGCCTTCATCACTTGAAACAGATCATTGTGTTGGTTTTCTCGCAACTACATCTAATTAGTTCCACACTTATCCGGCTACTGCGAAAAACTGTACGAAACAACATCAACTTCATCTTGGCACTTGGAATGTATGAACTCTCCATCACAACAACGCAGCACCAGAAAGAAAAACAGCTCTGGTCACATTGGAGCTAAAGAAGTACAACATTGATATAGCTGCACTGAGAAGTAAGCATCAATCGACTACATGAAAGGAGAAAGCAAAATAAGACATCTAACATGTATTGCTGCTGCACTTGGATACTGATATAATGGAATATGCATACACCTGTGTACCCCCTCACTGGAATATGACTGGCTGGTGTCCGTCATAAATACCTACGGATGTGTAGGAGATTCAAAAGACTTAGTCTGAGAGCTTAAGTCTATAATGACGCCCATTGGACTACGCCATTGATCTATACTTCTTACCTGCGACTACGACGCGTACCAGTCGATTACTGCTACCGTATTCTACTTGGTTATAGTAGCCAAAACCACTTAGCTACTTCGTTCAAATATATCCCTTTCCGGGACATATCAGATAAAATACCTTCTCCTATACTCTCCGTGGTCTTTTGTGCAATTCTAGAGCCGGTCTTAAAAGTCATGCCCATCACAGGCATGCAGATAATTAATTCGTGGTCGTCGGAACCTCATACGTCGAACTTGACGGGAGAATCCATCATATATATATATATATATATATATATATGTGTGTGTGTGTGTGTGTGTGTGTGTGTGTGTGTGTGTGTGTGTGTGTGTGTGTGTGAAAAGTGTGTGTATATAAATATAAATAAATATATATATATATAATTATTTATATATTATATTGTCTGACAATCGCAAAAGCGTGAAACCCAGGGTCACAAACTCACATCAATATATATGTATTAGTATAGGGTGTGTATTTGCCACACAGAGTTTACTAATCATTCTATGTTAGGTAGAATAAC